GGGGGGGGGGGGGGGAGGTAAGGCAAAAGGGGAAAGGTGGAGGAGGACACTGCCCATCAGATGGATCAACCAACCGAAAAAGGGCCAGTCTGTCTGAGACTTTCATATTCCCTTCTCCCATTTGTTTTGTTTTTCTCTGGTCCTGATATTTCGCTCTCATTAGCTGTTGCCTTCAATCATTGCTTCATTTTTCTCTGCGACACTGCAACCGCAAGACAACTCGAATAAGTGCTCCCCTTCGCACCGCGCTCTCACTCCTTACGTAGACTCAGAGCGGAATAAGAAGACAGAAAAGAGGAATTCGCTTAAGCACATATGGGCTACATATGAGAATCACCTCCCTCTTTTTTAGCAAAGTTTCTCCTGCAGGCTCAGTGCCCGTGATCGCCTAAGCTTCTAACTAGCGCACCAAACGCACTTCTGCCAGGTCAACACCAAACCATCAGCAACAGCCCATTCAACTCCCCTGCTCAATTTCGCACCTTGCAGGTTCAACAGTAAGCACCCCCCCCCCCCGGACACTGCCCATCAGATGGATCAACCAACCGAAAAAGGGCCAGTCTGTCTGAGACTTTCATATTCCCTTCTCCCATTTGTTTTGTTTTTTTCTGGTCCTTATATTTCGCTCTCATTAGCTGTTGCCTTCAATCATTGCTTCATTTTTCTCTGCGACACTGCAACCGCAGGACAACTCGAATAAGTGCTCCCCTTCGCACCGCGCTCTCACTCCTTACGTAGACTCAGAACGGAATAAGAAGAGAGAAAAGAGGAATTCGCTTAAGCACATATGGGCTACGTATGAGAATCACCTCCCTCTTTTCTAGCAAAGTTTCTCCTGCAGGCTCAGTGCCCATGATCGCCTAAGCTTCTAACTAGCGCAGCAAACGCACTTCTGCCAGGTCAACACCAAACCATCAGCAATAGCCCATTCAACTCCCCTGCTCAATTTCGCACCTTGCGGGTTCAGCAGTAAGCGAAAACCCCCCCCCCCCCCCCCCCCCCCAAAAAAAAAAAAAAAACCTGGAAATCTGCTTGGGTGGGTCCAACAAACAAACATGTTGAAAGGAACAGAGAACCTGAGGGCAGTACTTTTGATGCTATATTTCGTAAATGACAGACCCACAAAAACACCAGTATGATACGACAAGGCCCCAATCACGCCCCCTACCGCAGGCACTCGCGAGTTCGAGTATGTACAACAGACCCACAAAAACACCAGTATGACGCAACAAGGCCCCTGGCTGGTAGATCCGACCTACCAGACAGACCAAAAAAAAAAAAAAAAAAGAACAGAGCAAGCCGCTGTCAGGTTTGACCTTCAGGGGTGGCAGCGGCAACCCCTGTAAGCTCTGAGCGAACACAGTGAATCCTTCTAAAATGACTCTGGCGAGCCAACGAGCACAAGGGCCAAAGGCGCGTCTGCAATCCAGAGCGGCAGGTCAATCAAGCATCGGGGAAAAGAGACATTCATCCTGTTCATTTCATTGATAAAAAATCAATCTCAAAAGAGACATGCATCCTGTTCATTATATTCGTAAAAAATCACTCTCATCCTCGTGCAAATTGGGAATTCATTCCTCCTCAATTTCCGGACGCATGTGGACATTCTCCTTCTAAACTTGTTGGAGTTGCTTTACTATCCCTCCTGTCAAGGACCAGACAAATAAGCCCCACACGGCCAGAAAATGGAAGACGGAATTCTCAGACAAAGAAAGAAGCATTGCAGTTGGCTACTAATGCTTAGACCCATTAATTAGGTAATAATTTTAAATATTATTATTCACTGAATTTCCCTTCTCTTACCTCTCTCTCAAATACTCGATCACAAACTCAGAACCCACAACACGTATAAAAGCAGCAGCAACTACTTTTACGAATAAGTGATCAACAAATTAATAAAATCATAGTTGGACATCCCTTTGCTCACCTCTCCCAAATACTTCTGCACAAACTCAGAGCCCACAACACGGATGAAAGCAGCAGTAGTGTGATGCGCCACAGCCTTTGCAAGCATGGTTTTTCCTGTTCCAGGGGGGCCATAAAGCAGCACCCCCCTCGGGGGGTCAATTCCAATTTGGCGATACAGCTCGTGGTGAGTCAATGGCAGCTCCACAGCCTCTCGAATCTCCTGCTTCTGGATGTCTAAGCCTCCAATATCCTGAGACAGAAAAACAAGGAATAGGGGTTGGGGGTAGATGGGGAGGGGGGAGGGGAGGAAAACACCAACCAAACCACGGAAATTCAAATCTGAGCAAGGAGGTTGCGTTCGAAAATGTTGTAGTTAATCTTAAAAAGACAATGAAACGCTACTATCTAACACATAATGACATCCATCCCTGCGCTTTCTTTTAGTCAAGCAAGCAAGCAAAGTGAAAGGGGAAAGAAAAAATCCCGTCTCACCACACAGAAGAAGCATCCCAATGGAGAGGGTGACCAGTATGCATGCTGCACCAATTGTGTATCCGAAAAAGAATGCAGGAAGACAGTCATATACTCCAAAAACAGAAGAATCTAGAAAACATAAGAATGCAGGAAGACAGTCATATACTCCAAAAACAGAAGAATCTAGAAAACATAAGTGGTTAAAAGGTACCCCCACTTTTCAGCCCCAGGTTCAAACCCTCCCAGCCCTGAGAAGTGCACTTAGGGATAATTTTTTTAGTTTTAGTTTTTAGTTTTTAGTTTCTTTTTTTTTTCTTTTGCCCTGTTTTATTTCTGGCCAAGGTCTGTGTGTGCCAAGTTTGGTGTTCGACCCAAAAATAAACGAAAAAGAACTCGTAACCAGATACTAACACCATACAAACCAATGGTGGTACTGAACTCCTCTTGCCCAACAAAAATGTGCATTCTATAAACTCAATGCACTTTTGAACTCGCTCGACTCAGCTCTACTCAAATGGACAGGGGAGTGGACTATCACTCACCCACACCAGATGGAAAACTCTGTAAGACTGCAGGTTCACACCCCATTCCATCACAAGCCATGTGTGGTCCAGCCTTCAGCCTATAGCCTGGCCTCATTGCCACGCACCAACTGCTTTAAAATAAAAACAAAAAAATCCGTCTTCGCTCGAACATAACGTGCCTTCATCACACTGAATCGGACTGGAAAGATAGCTTGTAGTCGGATAAGAAAGAAAGCTCATTCGTAATCAGGGCGCGTTGTGTTCGCCGGTAGACAGTGGTCTCCGCCTGGGAAGTGATATACCCTCATCTGCGTTCAAGTGGGGCCCGCCACGTCATCAAGGAGAGTAGCTCTCGCCACATGACAGACATCATGAAAAGCTTGCAAGAAAGTGGTCATAAACTATGACAAGAGACAGGTTAGGGTCCAAAAGCTTCTTCGAAAGCTCTCTCGCAGTCCCTCTCCGTATAGAGACTGCACGGCCCAATCCATACATACATACATACATACAGACTGGTAGAGAGAGTAGTGGGAGGGAGGTCGGCACAACTGATTTCCCCAAAGGCGTAGATCCATTCTGCCGATCATCGTCATCACCGTAATACTAGTAGGTACCCTCTGCGGGGAGGCTGTCATCATAATCACCAGCTACTCGTGCGTCATCACCGTCGCCACTGTCATATACAACCATCGGCACTGCCACCGTCATCATCACCTCCACAACCTTCGTCTTGTTCTCAATCACCGCTCCGCTCAAACGCGTGAGTGACATTACAAACCCTCCATCGGCGTCATCCTCGTCATCCCCGCAATCACTATGATCATCAACTACTCTCCTCCTCGTCCTTGCTACCGGTAGGATCAAAGACGATAATAATGATGATGACGATGATGCTCGTCACCCTCGTTATGATCCCCGTTATCATCATCATCGTCATCATCTTCTTCGTGAATTTCCATGGATTTGATTGGGCTCATGAGCAGCAAGATTCTAGCTCACGATAAGAGACAGCCAATGATCCGTGGAAGAAGGGGCGGGGAGGGCAACGGGGAAGCAAAAATAATTAAAAAAAAAAACAAGTAAAACATCAAGTCCCAAAACTCTCCTAATTACTCTTCTAATAAGTCTTCTAGTACTCTTTCTAGTACTCTTTCTAGTACTCCGTTTTTCTTTCCTTTCGTTTCGTTTTAGCCCAGTATCGTTATTTATTGTCGCTAAAAATTTGGACCATTTCTCAATTTATGCGCATCATCCTTGCGCAGGGGCCATTTTGCTCGTTACCCTTCTCTGTATCGTTCCAATGTTAACGGGCGTCCCCAAGTAGTCTTTCTGATACTCTTCGACCGATAGAGGTGGGGTGGTCACACACCAGTACCCACAACTACCCTCCAAACAAAAGGAACCCCTCATCTCCGTGTCGCACTCCTGTCGGAATAACGCTCTGCTCGACCCGCCCCCTCCCCCCAAAATCGACGCTTCCCTGCGATTCGAAGTCCCCTCCCTAATCAGACAGATTCCTCGAAGAGCACGACCAACACTTCCTTCCCTCCAAGATTCTACAGCACCGAGGAAGATCCAAGCGGCGGTGGTCTCTTACCAGGGTTTTTTTTTCCGCAGCTGACACAAGACTCCAAACCCAAAGCCACTCCCAAGGTCTCGCTCTGCTACACAACCTTCCCCAAGCATCGGGCTGCATATGGGACCTGGTACCTCGCTCTGCTCCACAACCTTCCCCATGCATCGGGCTGCATATGGGACCTGGTACCTTCGGACCGACCTAACATTTACTTCGACTGTACCGGCGGGACCATTACCAGCTCCAGATACATTCGAATGCTGTACAATAGAGCGAGACCCCCATCCATTCAACCCCTCTTCTCAGTGGTCACGTCACGTCACGGCACGGCACGTCACGGCAAGGTAAGGTTTCCACATCTTTAAGGGCCGACTGACCCATGTCGGTCCAAGCGCTGTTCGCTAACGTGGAACCTTTCTCCACTTTGGTCTTCAAAGTTCCCATCCGGATATTTGCGACTATTACCACCAAGATCTGCACCGGCACCCGCTTCACCAAAATCGGTTCACTTCCCAAGCGTCGCAGCACAGCCATCACCAAGTCGCTCCTTTTTTCCTTCCACGACAAACGAAGGTGTGCTGCCTAMCCCGCCTGCCTGCCTGCCTGCCTGCCAAGAAGGTAGGGGCCCGGTGGTCGGACTTGAGCCCTTCACCCGCGTGCGCACGTTGTTGTTGAGGTTCTAGTTTGTCTATGATGCCATATTTCTCCAGCTTCCATTTGAAACCATCTTCGCCTCGAATAGAGCCCATGAACTCAACAGCGTCGCAGACACACACGCACTTCCGCGGTCGGGCCCATCATAATGATCATCGGTCCATCGGACAGACAGACCCTACTACGCCATCCGCACTCACCTGGTCTGCAGACATCACTGCCGCGCGGCTCTGTTCAGGACAGAGACATACAGTAGGATCACCCCCTCCACCTCCTCTTCTCCCTTCCCCGACCTCCGCCCATCCCTACCCTCCCCTCTCCCACCCCCCCCCCTTCCCTCCCCCCTGCGCCTCCCCCTCCTCCTCCCTCTCCCTTCCCCCTTTCCCCACTACTTATACCTGAAAATAGCACAGCCATCTTCATGTCGGATGACTCTATTAAAATTGGGCAACCCCGATCCATGCGCCGTATACATAAAATCTATATATATCGTCACAAACAGAACTGCCCGGTAAAACCGTAGGCAGAGAGAGAGAAGAGGACAACAAACGAGGGGCTGTGACAAACTGTTTCGTCGGAGTTTCACCGACTCATCAGGAGGCTGAACCCTCTATTTTTCGTTACATGTATTTGACGACATACCGTCACACCGTGTATCGGAGCGCAAAGGCGAAAACAAGACAACAAAAAAGGAAAGAAGGAAAGCTCCGCCTGTTCATCACCTCTTACGTACAAGGCCGGCCACGTGGATGACAGGTTCAGCGCCAGCTGCCCCCATCCCCGTGTGTCACAAGGACCCACTTGCACGCAGCCAAAAGGCAAAGAGGTAAAGAACAGGAGGAGGAAACCAAACCTCACAGAGGCAAGAAAAAGAGAAAGGGATTCAGTCAAAGAAAGGACAAGGGAAGAGGAACGATATATATTGTCACACTGTGAATCAGAGGGCAGAAGCGAAAAAAAGAAGAACAGAAGAGAAAAGAAAAAAAGGGGAGAAGAAGAGGTAAGGAAAGCTCCACCTGTTCATAACCTCGTACGTACAAGGCCAGCCACGTGGATGACAGGTTGAGCGCTGGCTGCCCCCATCCCCGTGTGTCATAAAGACCCACTTGCACGCCCCCAAAAGGCAACGAGGTAAAGAAAAGGCGAAGGAAACCAAACCTCATATATATACATAGATATATGACGATATATCGTCACAAAGATATCAGAGCGCAAAAGCGATCTTCTTACTTACAACTCCCCCTATTCAGAACCTCTTGCGTACAAGGCCGCCCACGTGGATGTAGGTTCATTGGCGGCTGCCCCCACCCTCGTGTGTCATATGTATCGAGTAAGGTCGTTTTTATTTTCACTGCGGTTTCACAAAATAGGAACCACAGGAGATCAGCAGCGGGGGCAAAAGAAGACTCTTACAGAACCATCAGGAGGGGGGGGGGAGCAAAAAAGTCTTACAGACTCGTCAGGAGGGGGGCAAGAAGCCATCATGAGTACAACACATGGTCACTTCTATATGTATTTTCGTTCACAAAATATACATCGCCACAATTTTCTTATTCTACTCGGACGACGACAAAGTAAAAAGGAGCGCCCGTGCTGTTCGCCTCCCCATACTTTCTCCTCTAATGGGATGCGAGCATTACAACGTTTTGGGCTGAATTTAACCTTAATGGCGGACAGATGGGTTCCAGAAAAAAAAAATCCTTGTCTGATGAGTATTACGCTAATGCTTTGACTACTAGCTTCTGCCCTCTCGATGATACACCGAAATGCGTCCATGCACCTGACGCAATCACTCCACGATAATCCCGACTGTATAGAACCCCCTCTGCAGCCACAGTCCGTCCATTCAGTATCAGCGTGAGCACACCCTTGTTACCATCTTCCCCCGAATAGAACGTACGGTCATTATAACCGTATATGGCTCAACTTTTCGTCCAGATGCAGCAGAAAATGACCGTACGTTCTATTCGGGGGAAAAAGGGAGTCGCTGCAGTCTCGGCCTATACCCCCTCGTCCTCATTACGAAAACTTCAACTCCGATCCCGTTAACATAATTTACATTTGATCCGACAACCGCAACTGCATACAACCCCTTTCACGGCCACATTCAATCAGCCTCTTCAGGCCCCACTGGGCAGTACACCCTTCTTATTCTCTCCAGCCTCTCTGCCTTTAACTCGATTCAAACCGCTCAAATTAATTGCCACTTTCTATATACAATTATCTTATATCATAAATTATATTCTGTCAATTTCATACTAATTCATATTAATAATAAGAAGAAAAATATTATGAGAATTATGATAAATATACATTACTCTTTTAAGATATAGAATATTTTTGTGTATAACTATTTATTGATATTCTCCAACTCAAACATGTTACACAGCACGATTTTTAACACTGCTACCGCTTTTCCGCTCCCTTACTCGAATACCAACACTGTGATTCCGGCTCTCTTGCCTCATAACTGACTGCTGTCATCTCCTCTCTCTTGCTTGATTACTACTCTGATTTCCGCTCTCTTGTTTGATTACTACTGCGATATCCACTTTCTTGTTTGATTACTACTGTGATTTCCGCTCACTTGTCTCCAGTGACTACCAATGATACGGTAATTCAGACTTGGACACGTTTCCAACACCGCTGCTTGTGATCTCCGCTCTCTTCTTGTTTCCAATTACTTCCCCAGATAATTCCATGTCAAACTTCGCCTCACTCAACTACCAACGCCGCTCAAAGCGCCTCATCGACGAGACGCCCCAGTGACCCAAAGTTTCATTGTTATTACATCGATTTATTTTTCCTTGGACTGGAATGGAGTACGGTCTTACAGTTGCCCTCTTGCTCTAATCACCACGCGGAATTGAAATCAAAACAATGGACAGGCATGGATGTCATGGGGTTACGGCAGCATAAATGGACAGATATGGCTGTCATAAATGGACAGATACGGCTGCCATCGTTTACAACAGCATAAATGGACAGATATGGCTGTCATCTTCACAGCAGAATAAATGGACATTGATATGGCTAACATCGTTACAGCAGCATAAGTGGACATTGCTACGGCTGTCATCGTTACAGCAGCATAAAGTGTCTCCGCGCGCGACAAACGAGGCGAGCAAGCGAGGCAGCGCCGAGACATCACAACCGCGCACCAGAAACAGAGAGACGGAGAATGGCCAGCGACACGGTGGGAAAACACTAAATTATTGAAACTAGTATACTACCGTACCTACATCTACATGTATCTACATATATTGTCACACTGTGAATCAGAGCACGAAGGCGAAAAAACGTAAAACAAGGAAAAGAAGGAAAGCCCCACCTGTTCATCACCTCTTGCGTACAAACCCAGCCACGTGGATGAACCCAGCCACGTGGATGACAGGTTGAGCGCTGGCTAACCCCATCCCCGTGTGTCACAAGGATCCACTTGCACGCAGCCAAAAGGCATAGTAAAGAAAATGACGAAACCAGCCCTCACAGAGGCAAGAGAACGAGAAAGGTCAAAGAAAAGACAAAGGAAGAAAGCAAATGACACATCCCACAGATAAACCAATTGCCACTGTCACTACAAACTTCAACATCTTTTTTTCTTTTTTCTTTCTTTTTTTTTCTTCAGAAATTTGTACTTTTTTTCTTTCTTTCTTTTATCTGTCCTACAATTAGTGTTGCTCCTGATCGCTTGATTCTATTGACCAGTTAGGAAGACGTGCCCCCACCCCGGCAGATAGGACAGGCACGCTGAGGATGACGTGGATGTTCACAAGCATACCCAAGGAGAGCTACTTCAGCACTGCATTCAGCAGGACGGCTAGCACGGACCATCCCATCAAAACAGTCCTGACAAAGGACATGCTGTCCACATGTCAAAAAAACAGCAGGACGTTCATCACAATGCGGCGTCATGCAGTCCTGATAGCGTCCTTGAGCACAAAAGGGACGACGAATATCTGGGTGATAGGGATGTGTACAATGAGGAAATGTTGGACACCGTTCGGCACAGACGGCGGCGGCTGCAATAGATTGATAATGTTGATGGCATGGGTGATGAATTCCGCAGCCAAGATGTCGGTGAAACTCCGAAGAAACAGTTTGTCACAGCCCCTCGTTTGTTGTCCTTTTCTCCCTCTTCGCCTACGGTTTACCGGGCAGCTCTGTTTGACTATATATCGTCACAAAGACGCAAAAGCTATAAAAAAAAAGGAAAACAAGAAGAAAAAAAAAGAAATCGTTTCATATCTTCTTACTTACAACTCCCCCTGTTCAGAACCTCTTGCGTACAAGGCCGCCCACGTGGATGTAGGCTGAGCGTTAGCTGCCCCCACCCCCGTGTGTCATATCGACCCACTTGCACACAGCCAAAAGGCAAAGAGGCAAAGAAAGAGGAAAGGAATAGCCAAATATAACAAAACAGGGGGAAGCAAACTTAAACAGATCCTAGATGACAAGTCCCACATGCAAACACCGCCCCCTTCGTCACAGGCCAAACGACGGGACAAGACCAACCAGGATATCAAAACACCCTTGCCTGCGAAAAGAAATCCCAGATAACAAATCATTCGTGCTCGCCAGCGTATAGATATATATATCGTCAAATATATATATATCGTCACAAACAGAACTGCCCGGTAAACCGTAGGCAGAGAGAGAGAAGAGGACAACTAACGAGGGGCTGTGACAAACTGTTTCGTCAGAGTTTCACTGACTCATCAGGAGGCTGAATATATATATATATATATATATATATTGTCACAAAGATGTATTATATATCGTCATATATATAAAATCGTGTAATGTATAAACAAGGAAAAAAAACACAATCGACTAATTGCCAATCGACCGCCCATTAATCAATTGCAATATTATAGCGACCAAGAGACGTCGCAAAACATCCTTCCAACTTCTTCTCCCTCCATGTCCTCCTGAACACGACGCAGAACCCTCATCATCATGACTCATCCCCTTCCGCATCGTTTTCCTCCTGGTTTCTCCTCTTGTTAACCGCTTTTCCCCCGAACACAACACACCCTCATCACAACTCATCTCCTTCCCCATCGTTCTCGTCCTCGTTCTTCCTCTTATTAACTCGTCTATCCCCGAATACAACACACCCTCATCATGACTGTACAGAACCGGATATAATTATGAACGAACGGGGTTCCTTGTGTTCGGGGGATGGTAGTTTCCTTCGTATCCATCATTCCCCTTGCTCAACTCTTCCCCGTCACTAACTTGCACCCCATCATTCCCCCATCAACACGCCCCAAGAACACCCCCCGACATCAACACTCCCCGTCAACAACCCACATCAACATCTCATCACACCCCGCGACAACAACCTACATCAACACCTCACCAATCCCCAACATCAGCACTTCGTCAACACCCAATCAACCCTACAAGGACAGTGAGCGTCGGCCAAAGACTGGCCAAGTAATCAATCACCTGATAAGAGACGTCCGGTTTCTCGGAATCGCTGAGCAGGGATATGCTGGAGTCTGCCTCTGGCGGGAGAACGTCAACCAATGCATTGGAGTGTCTGTGAAGAGCGACGGACGCTGAGGGCTTCAGCAACTCGCGATTGATCGTCGACAAGATCCTGACATAGTAGTTCGAACCGGTGGTTGACCCAACGATGCCGTTGTTCGGATCCACCATCTCCAGAAACTGGCCAATCACAAGCGGGACCGACTGTATCCGCTTAACCTCTTCCTGCGCGCGCATCAACTCCCGCTTCAGGTTCTTTTGCTCATCTTTGATGTATTCCTCTTGTATATCTACAAACTCAAGCTGTCGTTGCAGAGTCTTCAAACGCTGATAGAGGTCCTCGTCTTCTTGTTGCTGCTGCTGATGCTGATGCTGCGAGGCGCCTATCATCATATCATCCATGTCTTTAGTCGCCCTAGCTACCTGGACGGTCTCCATCGTCATAGCCACCGCCATAGCTAAACCTCTCCCTCTCCCTCACACACGCATATACAGACACACACACACCCACACGATCGCGAGTAGCTTCTGCACGTCCCTTGCACTGCAGCAAACGGGCACGCCCCAGCGTGTTGAGCGTGAGGAAACGATGATGAACGCCCCGGTATGTCCAGGAACGGTAGGTACGTTCGCAGACCTTAAGGCTGCGGTATAGAGGGGTAGTGAATGACTTCGAGGTAGCTGTTGGTTTTTCAAGTCGGAGCCCTCAAGACCGGCTTATAGCGCGGTGCGGAGTCCGCAGCCAGGGCTCGTCCATTTTTCTCTTAGGACGACCGACGCAATGGTGCGCTTAGAGGGGTCGGGAATGACTCCGGACTAAGTGGCGTACCAAATTGTCTACCGCGTGGGCACGGGAACGCAGCCCTAAGGTAGCCGAAGCAATGAGACTAAGAGCGCGCACAGGAGCGCGCACAGGGGACACAGAGAGAGAGAGAGAGAAAGAGAGTTTTGTTTAGTGTAAGAGAGAGAAAGAAAGAGAGATAGAGAGAGAGGGAGGGGGGAGGGCTACCAAAGAGAGAGAGAGAGAGAGAGAGGTTGAACGGCAAAATTGAAATACGGGTCAAATTGTGGCAATCGGAATGATTTTTTTTTATTTATTGAGCATTTTTCTTGGAAAAGTCACAACAACATCTACGAGTACTCCAATTTTCTGTTTTTTCATGCATTCTTTTGAGGGTGAAAACTCACTGAATTTATAGTTTTTTTTCAGTTGGCCTACACATAGCTGAGTGGCAAAAATGGAAAATATGCCGAATCGGTTCGACGATTATTTCGCAATCTAAAACAAGCTGCAAAAAAAAACATAATAGTTCTGAAAGTGTACATTTTTGATAAATCTAAGTTGTGACCTAAATCCCAAAATAAATGTCGAATTGCGTTGCTCATATGATAGCATAGTGCTGAGAAAGCTAAATTGAACAAATTGAAGATTAACCAATGAAAATAACAAATGAAGTAAAAAACAAACAAATCAAAGTGATAAGAAGTCAGACTAAGTTCACAAATTTTGACAAAAAAATGATTTTTTGAAAATGTTCTCATATTTTATTGGAAAAAACACACCCTCATCTATGGATTCTCAAAATTTCATATTTTTTTGCGAGTTCCTCCGAGCACAGAAAATCGTTGAAGTTGCCTCTTGCAAAACGCATGTTTTGTTGCGCCTGACCTCCCTGTTTTGAGAAGACGGACCTCAACGCCTGGGCTTGATGGCCATTTTGCAGTTCACATACGCTCACTTCTTTTTGGGGTCCACTTGCACCCGAGGACCATTCCCTCCTTTTTCAAAAAATTCCGGTTCTACCAGAGCTAGTTGTAGGTAGTCCGCAATTTTGCCAAGGACCAGTCTCTCAATTTTTTTTCCCCCCAAAGAACCCACTTTGCGTCCTGGTCGTCTGCCGCTAATAATGCTCCACCTTAACATAGACGTCGAAGCCTACTATACCGCAGTCTTAGGAAGTATTGGGTTCAATCCCCATTCGCCTTATGTACCTCCTATGCAAGTTTGGCGCCTGACACCTAGAGATACGTCGTTGGTCCCCCTGGCATTGAACAAAGACTGCTGATGTTCATATGAGGAGGAGAACGGAGGGGAGGCACAACCATAGACCCGTAAGAAGCTCAGTCCTGATGATATCGATTGACCCCTAGTCGGTATCGCTCACCTGCTGGTCGGTGTAGCTCCCTCATGTTCCGTTAGAGGCTTGAGCACGGATGTCGCTGCTACAGGTTCCTCGTAATACTATTGTCTACCACGTGTGAGGCGCGAAACGCAACCCTAAGGTAGTCGAAGCAATGAGACTAAGAGCACGCAAGAGAGAGAGAGAGAGAAAAAAAAAAAAAAAAAAAAAAAAAATTTGTTCCATTT